GGATGGCTCCGCTAAGTACTTGCTCGATGCTTTGGATAGGTTACAGCGGCGCGCAATCCGCATCATAGGCGATGAGGAGGTGACTAAACACCTCGAGCCTCTTCAATTACGCCGTGACGTGGCGTCACTAAGCGCGTTCTATCGCCTGTACCACGGCGAGTGTTCTGAGGAGTTATTCTCTCTTATTCCACCTTCCCCTTTCCTTCAGAGGACCACGCGCGCTGGCTTACGTTGTCACCGTCTAACTGTGGCTACAATTCCAACGCGTACAAAGAAATTTGGTGACTCATTTCTTTGTCGTACTATCCGTAAATGGAATGCTCTGCCCGCTCACGTGTTCCCTCCCTCTTACAACCTGGGATCCTTTAAAAGAGGCGTGAAGAAGCAACTTGCAGGCCGGCAGGGTGAGGATGGCTGGTGTGGCAGTTAGAACTGCTGTATCAGCTATCTTCGCGTCTGGACTTCACCTTCACTTAACATCAGGTGGGGTGGAGTCATTTGTCGGATCTATCTATAAAAAAAAAAAAAAAGCTGCAGGTATTATTCACTATTAGCACATATTATTATTCACTAATTTGTCTAGAAATGATATGTATTTAATTTTTAAAATAAAATAATTAAAGAACTTGTCAAAAACAGGTGTTAACAGTTTTATTCTACCACCCTCCCAAATAAATAAAGTTCATAAAATATTAGCATCAATATGCTGCTTGTCATAACAAATCTGAGTCAAGGTTTTAAATATAACAATGAGGAAAGTCAGCCAGCTAGACAGGGCAACGATGAGATTGGGGGTGTTCAGCTTTATGATTCTACATTAATAAATTTTTGTTTGAAGTGGATATCGCCAAAGTAGAAACATGCGGAAAAATAGAACATATTAGTGTGGCGTAAAGTTCGAGTAACAATTTTGGTGAAACACAACGTTTCACCAAATTTGTTGATATTTGGGGCGTGTCACACGCTTAATCAGTATTGCTATATAAGCTTGGCATAAGCAAGTAGCCTTATGTGTGGTTTCGACTGGGGGTGCTCTGTGGGGTCAAGGTTGCAAATTTTATAGTAATGAATGTAGTGTCTAGACAGGCTAAAGATAAGGTGATGTGACCTCCTATTGATACATGGGCATTATTGTCATAGAAAATCGACTGAAATGACTGGCGTTCCCTAGGGGAGTATTTTTAAATCTGGCGCCTCGGGCCACTTACGACTTGCACCCCTAGAATTAGTTAAATTAAAGCACAAGTACGTTGCGAATAACTTTATCTGGCTTCTGCCGCCCGTCGCAGCCTGCCGCCCTGAGCCATATCCCTATTGGTCCTAGGATATAACAAGCCCCTGGCGTTCCCTGCCCAACTATTAAGTGAGACTGGACTGATAAGTGTGAAAGGGACGAAACCAGTCCCCCTAGCATGAGCACCACAATTTACATTATATCACGTTTTTTATCGCGTGTAACTGTCAAACTCCATAGTAATTTGACAATTGAGCGTGATAAAAACGCGTTATAGGGTAGTGGCACCAATAAATGAACGATTAAGAGGTTTTCGCAACTTTGAATCCCTTTTTCTCGGACTTTTCAAACTATTGGCGCTTACTGATATTTTTTATGATTCCAGATTATCCTCAAGATTTTAGTAATTTAAGAAAATAATTCCAGAGGCTACCAGTTTTTTGATAAAAAAAAATGTGTGCGTGTACTAGTGTACACACGTAAGAAGTGAAACTTCTTTATGGCCTTATTTTTCGAAAAATGATCTACATGCAACTTTCCAGAAATTGGTTAAATAAAGTTAAATTAGATAAAGTTTAAACAAAAGGATTTTATTATCATAGACATGAATACAAATTACTGCCTATGAAACTGTTATGATTACACGGCTCAGTAATCTAAGGCACATGTTCCACCTCCGACGATGAACGATAAGCGAGTAGAAACTAGAAACTAATTGGCAGTCCTGAGTTAAAATGCACGCGCACGGCTTTTGACAGCCAAGCCAGCTTAACCGAGCGAGTATAGCTGAGCGAGTATCGCTGAGCTAGTATCGCTGAGCGAGAATCGCTGAGCGAGTATCGCTGAGCGAGTATCGCTGAGCGAGTATCGCTGAGCGAGTATCGCTATGCGAGTTTGGCTGAGCGAGTCTTATCTTTAATAACTATTGTCACTCAGCTACAAACGAGTAGAGAGAGTTCCGGCGACAGTGTGATCATTCAGCTATCAACTATTAATATAAAAAAAGATGGCGCGTAACGTAAAAATGTGACGCGTAACCGAAAAATGTGACGGTAAATTTTTTTCCAACGCCGATAAAGAAGTTTCACTTCAATAACTATTTATGTAAAATTTGTGGTTTTACCCCTATACTTGAACGACGTGTCTTAATTATGAACGTTTAGAACCCAATAGTTGAACTAAAATTTTGATTCGAATAACAATAGGATGCAATTTAATTTAATTTTTTAATTTATATTCAAAAATCACATTCTTGCTATTCATATTTTTTTTGTCTTTGCGAGATCAATTGACTCGTTACATAAACTAATCAACTTTTAACAAAATAATATTATTTATACTAATTAATAGTTGTAAATATTACACAGTCTCAAGAAGTACCCATACTAATTTTATTTAAGTACAATATTATTTACATTTATTTAATTGAGATCACAATCACAACCTTACTAGTAAACTAAACAATAGCTGGACCTGACTAATAAATTTAACGATAGCAGGAGCCAGCTGTAAGCAAAACTAAGTTATTAAACTTACACCATTAATCTGGGTGAAACAAATGTATTACCTATGTAATGTAATAACTACAGATAGGTCTGTAGTTAAGTTATTCACACAAATTGACATCGTTGTTGTCTTATGACTGTGTTTTCAAATGTAATCAATCCTCTTCTTCCAATTCGGGGAGACGGTAAAACATTTATGACAGCTGATGTCGATACTTCTGTTAAATCAGCAGTGGAGGGCTCATTGAAATATATCAAATTGTCAAATATGCTGGCCTCCTTCCTTAAACATTTAACATTAACGAAGTCATTGTCAAAGTCAATTTTCAGGACTTGTCCGATATAGTAGCGATTTCTTTTATTAGTGTCAAACCACAACACAACGTAATCTCCAAAACTTATGCTGTTATCCTAATCTCTAATCAGACTTTTGTTATTTTCATTGATCATTTCAGTCTCTTCGGTACTTACATCTAAACTAGTAGCAGCAGTTCTATGTTTCTCGATTTTAGTTAATTGACTATGAACTGTCGTTTCTTCCTTTGCAGCAGTACAAACTTTAGCTTTACTGACCTTAGTATTTACTTTCTTTACTTAGATTTCTTTACTTTAATAGTTTTATCCTTTTCTGCTTTTGCTCATTCTCTCTGGATTTTTCTATTCTTTACAACTTCTTTCTTCTTCTTCTCATATCTTGAGTTTCAGGTATTCTTTAAATTTTTTATTGCTAGAGGAACTGGTGGTTGTAATTGTTTGAGCTTTGTGTCTACTTTGGATTAAAGAAGTTTCAGCAACTCATCAATCTTATCTTTTATTACTTAGATACAGACCGGTTAATTAGTTTCAGGAGTTGGATCAGACGTAAATTGACTTTTTTCACATGTAACGTCAGGGCTTTGGGCACCTTTTTCATTGTTAAGCAAGTCATCTTGCAGTGATAAATCCTGAATAATCGGAGCAACGTCAAGGTTCTGGGATGTTTCTTGATTATTTGACAGTCGACACATCAACTTTGCATTGAAAATTTGAAAAACAAAATTACTTAAGCGTTCAACTTAAAAACCGATACCCAAAAGTTGAACGAATATAATTTGAACATAATTGTTTAGTTCAAGTTTTAGGCATGAATCCTAAAATTGAACAGTAACTAAATTTAATGGTTTCATACTAAAATAAAAGACATAAAAATAAACAAAAGCCTTTATAAATTATGTTTAACCTTTTTTGCTTCATAATATTATTTAAAATCAATTTGAGTTTTTTTGGTTTAACTATACGAATCATTATATAGATTATTGAAGTCTGCAAATATTTGCACTATTTCCAATAGTTGAACGCCGTTCATTTATTGGATTTTACTTACAAAATTTAATCCATTACTTGAACAGAGTATTTCTCTAAAATACATTAAATTGTGCATAAACCTGAAACTACGTAATCAAAGCCAAATATATCAAGATGTAATTGCAACTATAACAAAGCCAAACAAAGCTATAATTATATGTTTAATTTGACGTTATGCGTAAATGTGGAAGCTATTTACGTACGTTACTTACGTAGATTTCTATAGAAAACTGATTTGTGGAGGAAAGACCTTGCGCGGCGCGCGACCGTGAGCGCGTCGTTGACATTAATGTTAATATTTTAATGGCATCGAGCAGAAAATGTGTTGCCATATTACATTAAAAAAATATTACACAAAAGTAAGCGGCAGATTTTTTCATATCTTTAAATTTCGGTCAAACGTTCATCTATTGGGGGATCGTTCATGTTTTGGTGCTACTACCCTATATCATATCGCGGTGCTCATGCTAGGAGGGCAGGGGCGTATTTACACTACGGAATGGTTCCACAGCAATAATCATGTTCTATTCATGTCTCTTCTATTCTTGTTCTGTAACTCACCTGGTATATTAAGATTGTCTACACTGCATCCTGTAGTTCCAGCAACAGTATGACTTCCCCTTCCAACACCCTGAATGTCCCTGTAACGTCCTCCGGTCCCCGTAATAGTCCCACCGAACGGTGACACACAATAATCATGTTCTATTCATCTCTCTTCTATTCTTGTTCTGTAACTCACCTGGTGTATGTATATTGGCTACACTGTATCCTGTAGTTCCAGTAACAGCGTGCCTTCTCCTTCTAACACCCTGAACGTCATGTAACGTCCTCTGGTCTCCGTAGTAGCACCACTGAACGCTGGCACACAATAATCATATTCTATTCATCTTTCTTCTTATTCTTGTTCCATAACTCACCTGGTATATGGAGATTGCCTATGCTGTATCCTGCAGTCCCAGCAACTGTGTGACCTCCCCTTCCAACACCCTGGACGTCCCTGATACGTCCTCCGGTCCCCGTAGTAGCACCACTGAACGGTGCCACAGCGGTAGGCATGTTATGAGTCTCAGCTGTGAATATTATATCAGATTCAACCTCCTCCACTATGACTTGAGATGGAGCCCTCACATTTACAGGCCTAATTTTCTTATGTTTAAAACCTTTGATGGCACTGAAATAAACAACAGTATTCATATTATTTAAAATCCCTTCACTAACATATAGTTTAGTTTTGGATTAAGGTAATAATGGAAAAAGAGTAATTTAGGAAATTTCAATTCACCTGCTGTTATCTCCAAATTTTATGACATTGTTGTCATTTGAATTAAGCTGAGTAGAAGCTACCATGTCGATCAAGGACTGATTTATTTCTTTATCGTCCAAAATTATTTTGCCCTGTATATAATAGAAAAGGAGTAAATCTTTTTTTGTTGTTTATTATTATGATATTCTATTCCATTATTATTTTGACAAATTCTGTCCAACAGTATAGAAGGATTTTGATAGTAATATCATGCAATGAGGATTATTTTTTCTTAGATAATAAACATATAAACAAAATTACCTTAAAAAACCAATGACGTGAATGCTCACTATTGCTCTGAGCAAGGTCAAATAATTCTACACTAGTTGGATCTCGTTTTAATTTGTTTACAAATAAATCCATATAGAAATCCATATCCCATGAATCAAAGGCCAAACCTACAAAAAATTATATTTAAAATCAAAGTTTACTTAGAAAACACATGCAAAATTTTTCGTTTCAGTCTTCCATGCAGCAATAGAATACTTTTAGGATTATGTCGAACAAATTCAGAATATGATTAAACTTTTAAACATACCTAGTTTTTTATTAACATTTTCCATAGCTTCTCTACCTTTTTTTTGCAAAGGTACAACAAACCAAGGTTCTTGATCTTTAGGCAAACATTCATTAAAACTTTGTCTTGGCAAATTTTTGCTTGTGTAAATACATTGCGTCATTCTATCATGTAAATTTGCAGCCAAACTTTGAAACAGATCATCAGAAATATGCTTGGTTTTCTTGAAAGATATGAGATATCTGGTGGAGACCTCAAGACGGACTACATCATGTAATCCCACACTTTCACATATTTGTACCGAATTACTGGAATCTGCTGTTGAAAAATTGAATCTGTAACAATATAAATAACAATAATTAAAATAGTCAGTTTAATAAAATTATCAACCAAAGATTAATGGGAAGTTAAAAAAATGCAAAATAAGCCCAGAATGATATACAGACTCATTGTAAGTTTAAGAAATGCATAATAAACCCAAAACCAATGTTATAGTAAAATGGTCTTACAATTTAAAACAAAATCTTTGTTTTGTAAGATGAAAGCTGCCAAAGCTAGCAAAACTAGAAATGAAGAAGGAGAATGGAAGCAGATAGACAGGGTTTTAGCAGACAGGCAAACAAATAGAGATGGTGAAATAAAAATGTACTTATTGATATTATGTAAAAATTATCATAATTCATAAACCCTAGGGCCAAGAGGGCCATGGCCCGGGGCGGCAGGCAGTGTGAGGTGAGCACCGGCAGAAGCCATTAAATGGTATTCGATAATGACCTATACATATTTTGAGTTGATTTACTAATTCTAGAGACTTGCAATTTGCAAGTGCCATGGGGCGCCAGATCTGAGAATGCTTTTCTTGATTAAGAACAAGTACAAATCTGGTCCCATCAATCAATAGGGATGAGAACTATTTTTTTTTTCTTTATTTATCAGGTAGATTATCAAAAAGAATTGGACATGAACTATTTCTTTATTCACACACTCAAAACATAACAGAGATATATTGATTTAAAATGTTGCATGGCAAGTCTTAAATATTGTTCAATTGTCGTTTAATTTTCACTTACAATTGACATCACAAGCATCTCAAACTTTGATGTGCTTTTTCTTTTTTGGTTGATTGACAAAAGAATAAATAAGTGACTAACTTGAATTTCGATGATGGTTGGTTGGATGACCTCCATCTAACTGGAATAAGAAATAGGGTGGCTAAATATAAAAAAAAATATTACCTTGGTCCAATTTCAATTATAATCTGGTTTTGTTTTACAGTTTTATACACAGTTTCATTCTTTAGTGCATAAGGATGCAGAGGAGAACTGAGTAGCCATTTAAGAATTTTTATCTGGTCGATGTTCAAGTATTGACAACCTTCAGCAAGTTCCACATGATAACAAAGTTCAGTTGATAACTCTGACACATAAGCATCAACATTGTTTAAATTCTTTAATATTTCTTTTGTCTTGTGAGCACTAAATGCTTCACAAGAAAAAAATCTTATTATGGCCATTTTTGTACAAGCGGTCCAATGATTACAAAGTTCTGCTTAAGACTGCCTGTCTCAAGTAGATCTCGTTGACACTGTACAAATTGATGTCTTACATCAATGTCAAAGTTCAAAATCTATATCAGGAGTTATCTGAAACAAATAATAGCAAACAACTTATGCAATGTTACTACTATTGTACATTTGAATTTTCACATTTAATAACATCTTTGCCCCACAAATACTATTTTCATCAGAATTTATAAAATGTAATGTTTATAATCACATGGAAACTTTTGGTCAGTTTTAGTTAGGATAAAAGCTTCTAGTAAGGAATAATGAGTATAGCATATACATTGTTAACACATTTTGTGAATATTTTAAGTTTAATTTATTACATTTAATTTAAACATTAAGCTGCTAGTTTTTTATAGCATAACATTGTAAGGTCCAACTTGGTACCTTGGCCGAGTTGATTTTTTTTCTAGTGAGATTTTCTTGAGGCATATAAATGCGTCACATTACTTAGCAGTTGCATATATGTCTTGAGTGCAAACTGTCTATGCTTTATTGATAAGTGTACAAGTTATTAACGGGATTTTTACCTGTACCATTGAGTACTTATTCAGTATGATTGAGATCTTGTCAGTCTCTCCTTTGACATATTATGGCAAATAAACAGGTTGTCTGTCTACTCTGTCTCTGGTGTTTTAGTTTGTTTCGCTAAAAACAAGGTACATGGTAACAATCTCGTAAATGACTTAAATTACTATAATGTTAGTGACCATGAAAGTTTAAAATAATATAAAGTACAAGATATTAAAGGTATATCAAGATGTTACAAATATTTTGTAAAGGAACACACACATACATTTGATTATATTCCACTCAACATAAGTGTTAGTAGAGCCTTTATGCTTAAATAACATTGCCACCTGGCAAGGTGTACTTTTTAAACGACTTCATAATTTATGCAAGCAGGATAAACAACAGCAGCTGGAGTTGTCAATAGAGTCTGCTGTCTTTGATAAATAATGTTATTACTCAGTGTGAAATAATTGGAGATACCAGGCGAGATAGAGATATGAGATAACAGAGTATAACATTTTCAAGTTCAGAATGCCACAGTAGGCAAGAAATTCTTAAACTGTTCTGTCAAAGAACACAACATTTGATTTACATAATAATTCTACTCTTGATACTTTCGCACAAAATATAAAATTTATCAGACACAATATAAATTCAAATTAGATGCATAATACAACTCCTTTGAATAATCCCAACTTTACTCGAATACCTTACTGTTTTAATTGATTACTTACGATATGTTTCTAATGTTGTGCACATTTTAAGCTAAAATACAGAAAAAAGTTTGTCCTTTTTCTAAGAGCTTTATACTTCATAGAAGCTAAATCAACTTATTTCTCCTTACGACCACAAGGTAATAATCACCTCAATTTTCCAGTCTGTACATTCTTTCATATGAAGCTTTAGCTTTTAGCTTACTCATTTTTTTTTCTATGATACTTTCCCATAAGAACGAAAAATTGTCTTCTCTCCTCGTCCCAATTACAAAAACATTCAAAAGTTTGGCTCGACCGGTCGAATCAGGAGATATCTGCGTTTTAGTTACTTTTTAGTGGAATAACGGTTAATTGAAAACAGATATATTGTGAATAAAATTAATAATGTAACAGGATTTAACCACCTCAACAACAAACGATTTCCCATTTTTGAAAACTTATGTGAAAAATGCTGAGTACCTATTCATTTATATAAAATCTCTTTCATACAAATAATATATATATTTAAATATATATTACCTTAGAAACTTAAAATGTAAAAAACTAGTAAAATAATGTTTTCCACGTGTATCACCAAAGAGATTTTCAAATCAAAACAATGCCGGCATTTTTTTTTTTGTTGAAGTTCTCCCGTTTTAGGGAAGGCAACGGGAACAATGCCCATACAGTCTGGTCGTTAATTAAATTTATCTTCTTTTTGTTTTTACATTAGAATGTCGGTGTGACCCATTCTAATGTTTCTTAGAGTGTTTGGCACGAACACGAAATGTATCGAGCTCACTTTTTCGATAAGCTTCTGTGAGGTAGTCAACACTACAATAAAATTCTCCCATCCACTTGACCGGAATAGCGTATATTTTAATGATTCCACTAATTCTTCAGTTACTCAGACAGTTGTTACACAAAACCACACCAATTTTATTTCACAATATCCACTATGAACGAATTTAAGAATAATTAAAATAAGACGCCAACCGCACTCGATGAAATCCCGCCAAAAACCCCCACAATGCAGGCAAGTAGTAGTAGTAGTTTAATTTCGTCCATTGGGACAGGCGAAGGTACTAAGCCATACTGCCAAATCTTATGTCCATAGTTTTAGTTCAGTCATATATTATTATATAGGCAAGGCCAAATCTGTTATTTTGTTTTTGTTTATAGGCTATAAGCTTAGAGCACTTATACCAGGAGGTGCCATTGCGTTCACTCGCCGAACAAAAATTTTCACCATTTTTGGTGCGGGACGAGGTACACACGTATAGCACACTAATGAAAATATGCAATACTCCCGCAAACACGAGCGTGTTGTTGCTATAAACGCACACTTCAAAAATTACGTCACACAAATAAAAAAACGCACACACGCTAAAAATTTTTATGCAACTATGCAATAGGCTAGTTGACCCTTTTTGGAAAAAGGTTTTAAATGGTTAATAAATGTTCTATTAGACTGAAAAAAATGTATTGTATTTTTTTGAGACCTAGAAAGCTACAAATCTTTAATTTTAAAATAGACTTTTCATGGACATACAAAAACGCTGCCGGCCATTTTAGTCTATAGATTATCTATGCTATGACGTTGACAGTAGTAAACAAAGAGTAATTTTTATATACGGAAATAGAGAGCCATCTTGCGAGGTTTGGACGGTAACAGAAAAGCGCCCTCTGCGATGACGATACTAAACTACATCCAGTCAGTATTTTATTCGTGCGACCTCCATTCCTAATGGTCTATTTGTTTTTATCTAAATATTCTTGTAACAGATTTGACAAAATTATCGGTATAATTTTATTAAATCTGTTACAAGAATATTTAGATATTATTTGAATCACTTAATCTAATTGGGAAATAAAACAATATTGATACTTTCATTTCTTTTTATTTTTTAAAGATTTATTAAAATATATTTCAGCCATGCTCTGAAGAACATTATTGTTGTCTTTTTTTCTTTTTCCACATAACACTTTATTAATGTCCTTGCAATATGACCTTATAAAAAATCTCACAGCATAATTATACAAAAACTGTATAAGAAGATTTTTGTGATCTTCACAAGTGGTGATACACTTTGTATCAACATTTAATATAAAATAGTTTTTATATATTCTTTGACATTTTTTTTTGAGAAATTATCTTGAATAATAATATGGAATATGTCCTGAATTTGTGATATTATATATAGAAAACTTTCATTTGGGTAACACAACCAACCACGCTCAGAATATTCTCTGTACCTCAAATATTCATTGTCTTTATTTTTATTCAATAATGAATCATTACAGGTTCTACAATTTTTAAAAATTCTTTTTTTGCATATTTTTAATATAAACCCACTTACATATGTTAATGACGCCATCCCCTTTACATCGTCTTTTTTTTTCCACAATAGGGGATGGGTTTATTATGAGGTGTTCCATATTTAATTCCTGAACTGGTTGGTCGGTTTTGTCACTAGGACCTAGTATATAGGACTGTAAAGATTCACAAAAATCCTCTTCACAGTTTGAACCAACTGCATGAATACTTTTTAAATTATTAATCATGAGCGCAGTAAATGACGACTGGAATGCAGCAGGACTTGGGTTATTATTCCTGCAGCCATGACTTCTAATAGATCCAAAAAAGTTTTCAAGGGGATCCTGGTTCAAATGGCGAGTCCAAATTGAAGTGATTTTATGTTCTTGTGATAATTTTTTTATTAAATATTCCAGACCTTCAATTGTCCACACAAAATTTGTCAGTGACGGTGTATTTGTGGATTTACCATCATTAGTTACAAATCTCATAGATTTTTTATTTTTTTGGCTTCATGCCATAACTTAATATGGGCTGAATTTGGCGTTAATGGTTTTAAATATTGTTTTCCATACTTGGTCTTTTTTGCATAACTCCCATTCATGCTGTCAAATAATTTGTCAAACAGTAGTAATACATCTGCTGTATCTTTGCACTCGGTGGGCAGAAGGCCTTTATCTGAAATAAAAAGAACACTATTAGATAAGGAATATGTGCCTGTTGTTTCAACAAGAAGGGCTGTTTTCTATTGGACATAAAAAAGCAGTATTTAATATTGTATTAAATACAACACTGAATGTTTTTATACTATGGAAAGTATGAGGGAAAAAGTCTATGAATGCATTAGATTTATAAATATTCAAATTAAGATATATTTTCTGTAACTAATGTAAGAATAAACATAATATCATACCTGCCAGATAGCCCATATTTGAAGAAACAGTTTGGCTGAAAACTTGAGTGGCAAATTTCACCCTCATTTTCCCCATCTTCTCGGGAATTATATGTTGGTCAGTCAATTTTGGTATCAATCTTATCCCTTTGTAAGCTGGGTTTTCTGCATGTAACAAGCGAAGATGTTCCCATTTGGCCACGCATATCTTTTTGTCTTCATTGACATACTTCAAATTTTTGTTTATTAAGTTATTCCTGATCCCCTTCAACAGGTGAGGGGGATCATATAGTGGTATTATTTCGTTTCCATTCACATCAAAAGTATTCCTTTTTAATTCAGTCCCGGCTACCAACAAATTTTGACGTTTGTCTTCAATAAGGCTTTTTATGGCTTTTTGGTTGTTGGTGCCTTGGTCACACACTGTCGCAATGACTTGGAAGCCAGCTTCTTGCAATTTACTGATAATTTCTTTTATAAAATCTTTTAAAACAGTTGCTTTTGTGGCTCCATTACAAAACGTATAAGCAATAGGTTGCTTATAATTTTTTATTAACCCCCTAATCATGAATACAGTAGCATGGTTGGCAAACTTTGTTATATTTCCATCTACAACAACACCATATATTTTGTCTTGGGTTTCATTATAATTTACATTGGCTTGTAAAGAAACCTCATCAAATAACAAGACGCAATATGTATCTTCCTTCTTCATTGTTTTAGATTTATTTTTTAATTGATGAAATACTTTTTCATTTATTCCTGGTGTGATTACTGCTTTCCTTACTAGTTTTTCTAAAGTTTGTGGTGCTGGGAGAATAAGGATTTTCCTAAGTAATCTATAAGCTTTGGGGCTTTTTTTGTATAAAAACAAAGATGTTATTTTTTCTTTGAGGGTGAATCTGCGACCTTTGGATTTTTTTTGTATCTCCCGAAATTGCAGTAATGTTAATATCCTTCCTGCACTTGTCATATTTTCGATAGTTTTCAGAAACGACTGGTTCGTCATCACATTGCTGGACATTCTAACTGAAGCTGCATACTTTTTATATTTATTGCGGCACTTGCTTAATTTTATTTGCATGTTTCTTAATTTTTTGTATAATTTTTCTTCCTGTTTTGATACCGGTACTCTTTTTCGTAGCCTTTTCATAGGTTGAGCTTTAAAAAAGAAATCCAACATTTTAGCAAGAGTATAATTTGTTTACATGACAAAAACAGCATGTTTGAGTCAGTTAAATAGAGATTTGTATTAGATTGAAAGTGGTAATAAAAAAATTTGAAGAGTAGGTAAGTACCTGATAAATTTACTATTTTTCTAACTGAGGTATTTTCAGTTGATTTATGTTCAACCACAACCGGTTCTGAAAAAAATAAAATAAGGTATAATTTTTTTATGTAGATACAGCCAGCAGCACCAAAGATTATGAAAAAAAAAATTATTGCTTTTGAATTTAATATCCAACACATCAAAAGTTTTAAATCTATTGGGGAAAGACAGGTAAGGTTTTAAATAAGCTGGTATGTCACACATAAATGGCTACCATAAATTTAAAAATTAAAGAAAAAAGGTAAACAAATCACTCTCTACAGCATCCTAGTTAATACAGCCAAACTACAATCTCCAAGTGTGCATATAAACCTTGTAATATACAAAGCAATAGTTCATTTATGTGTTTGAATAATTACCTGTTATCATTTGTTCTAGTGGATTGGTAGTGCTTGATGGCTTTTGTGTAGGCATCTGTACATCTGAGATACAAATGTTGTATTCAATGTCCATAGTAGTAGGCTCTGTAAGAAGAAACATGTTAGCATTATTCACTTGACTTGTAAAAAATTCAGTAGTACTAGGTTAGCAGCGAGAGAGGTATTTGAAGACGATGAGCAATAACCTACAATTTGAGCACACAAACTACCAAATCACAGTAATTCTAAATTTTTCTTAATATTTGGGTTATTTTAGAAAAATATTAAATTACACGATGACTTTATTAATTTATTATATTGATATTAACTGTCTATACTTTTCACAAAAGAGTGATTAGTGTTTCAGTTCATTTATGTTGAAATTTTCAGATAACAACAATTTTTTTGAGATTTTAACTGGTAGCAATTTGACGATTTTGGAAGCTAGACAGTCTCATATCAACCATAGTATTTTGGTATGTGAACTCACTTGTAACACTAGCAACATTTGCCTGGAGTGATGAATGTGCCACATTTTCTTTGTTTCCAATATCTTTAGTAATTGAGGGCATACTTTCTTGGAAGAGATGATGACTCATATTAAATACTGGGCCAAAAAGTGCACTGGTGTCTGAAAAATGCCATGCAAGAAGTAATTAATATTTGTGTACAGACAAAAGCAATAATAGGTGTACACCATATACTGTATGTCACAGTACATTATTTTATTACTTCATTACCAGTTTGTTTGTTTACTGTCAATTCAATGCAACATGCTTCTACAATGTAACAAGTGCTTGTAACAGCCTAGACTGAATAAATGACATTTCATTTCATTCATATTATACTGACTGTATTTATCAACTGCACATCTGTTTATTGAATATGTTTATTACAAAAATACTTGTAACAATAGTAATATGTATGAAAAAGGATGTCAGTGAATTCTTTAAGGCCAGAGTACTTGCCAGATTGTAAAAGGTTGCTGATTAAATTCTTACTACTTATGTCTAATTAGACATGAAATTAACCATTTCAAAATAATTAAAGTAAAAAAAATTACAGATATTAATATCCATATCTATGTCAACATAAATTTGTCTAGTAATGTGACATGTCTATATGCATGTCTAGGTTAAGTGATTCATGAAATATTTATACAATCATGGCCACAAAAATTATGATTCAGAATATGTGAGTATGACTACAAGAAATAGCTAATAATGCATATGAGAATTATCTGTATAAAATACTCAAAAATTTTAATAAATACCTGTAGATGTTGAAGGTTTATTCTCAACAGCACTGAGGTGTCTCCGGTCTCTTATAGTAAACTGAGGTACCTTGTGCAAATCTGAAACAAAAGGACAAGTCCTGTTACTCTTTATTATATGAAGCTAAGTTAAGCTAAGTTTAAAACATTTAATAACTATCTAGTCCATCAAAGTTTTAAAGATTAACTCTAAAAGAAACTAGAAATGAATGTACTTATTGCATGTTGATTATATTAACACAGTCTATAAAAAGCAACTATTGTGTATCATGTTTTAGAAAATTAAAAACAATGATTATAGTTATTAAAATTTAGCAAGGTATCTAACTCACCCCATAGATGCTTTCTTGGTATAGCTGATCGGGTCAATTTGTTGTATCGACAGCAATCATTAATTTCAAAATGTCGATGACAAACTCTGCGATTGGCATAGATGTACAGATTACGCAGGCCCAATATATCTCTGTTAGAGCGACAAATTACTAGGAGTTTATATTTGCGTGTAATCTCATTGCTGTTATTCGTATGGTTTGTGGTTGTCAGAATTATTTGAATATACTGACTGACATGCACTTCAAGTTTTGGTTGTTACTTGCTTAGATACGTTGTTTGTACTCATGTGTTCTATTTTGTTTGTAAATATATATTAAGTCAATATTAGCTGGCATTCTTTATTTATTATATATGATCGAGGTTATCTAGTCTTCGATCAGGTTATGGGCCGCATATGATAAATATAAGAAGACTTAAAATATGGCTACACAAGGAAATAGTATGAAGGTAAATTCGAGCAGCGATGGATCGGAGAGATCTCAGCCTTCACACGACACAGGTATGAGCATAGAGAAACTCGATGGAAATTCGAATTATAGTACTTGGAAATTTTTGGTAGAATTATATCTAATTCACGATGATTTATGGGAGTACACACAAACAACGCCAGATAAAACTGATGTAGTAGGCTGTAGGAAAGACCAAAAAGCGAGAGCAAAAATATGCTTGATGGTAAAGCCCCACTGTCTGATTCACGTTCGAAACGCTAAGACAGCTAAAGAAGCGTGGGACGCTTTGAGATCGGCTTTTGAAGATAAGGGTCTTAACAACCGTTGCAGACTTTTGACCAAGTTAGTTAGCCTAAAACTTGAACAATTTACATCAGTTAGGAGTTATGTAACAGAAATAATGTTAGTAGCGCAGCAATTACGGGACATCGGTAAAGAAGTTGACGATGAGATGCTAGCTGCTCTCATGTTACAAGGTTTGACCGAAACTTTTCAACCAATGAGGCTTGCGATTGAAAACTCAGGAGTAGAGTTGACCACAGATTACATAAAAACCAAATTACTTCAAATGGAAGATTCGTATAACACTAGTAGTTCAAGCAGTAATGATATAGCATTGCGTGTTGATACACATAACAAGACTAGGAGATTTCCATACAAGAAGTCACAGAAGATAAAATGCTTTATTTGTAATGGACCACATAAAGCGAGAGATTGTCCAGAGAACTCAAAAAATAAGAAGGCTTCGTTAGCATTGGGACTTACAACTTCAGGAAAACCAGACGAGTGGATTTTAGATTCTGGGGCATCAAGCCATATGACTAACAGCAAAGAGTATTTAATGGACGTTAGAATGTATGACAAAAAAGTGGAAATCGGATGTGCGAATGGTAGTAAAGTATATGGTATTGGAGAAGGTTCTGTGGTATGTAAGGAGAATGTTGCAGGCGTAAGTGAAGTGATGTATGTACCACACTTAGCAACTAACTTGTTGAGCGTGAGTGCTATTGTAAAGAAGAATGTAGTTGTTGTATTTTCAGCGAAAGGCTATGAACTGTTGAAAGCGGATGGATGTAAGGTTACTGGTGATGTCTTATATACAGGTGTGGAGGATAATGGTGTTTATAAACTTAAGCTCTGTTCACAGGAGAAAGCACTAGCCTCGACTGTCAGTACCATAGACATAGAGTTGTGGCATAGACGTATGGGACATCTTGGTGTACGGAACCTTAAGCTGCTGAGAGACAAATTGGCTACAGGGGTAAGTTTTACTAATAATCCAGTTAACTTACAGTGTAGAGCTTGTTTGATGGGAAAGCAGACCAAACAACCGTTTAAAAAGGGTTTAGCAAAAAGAGCTGATGATATTTTAGGTTTGGTTCATACTGATGTATGTGGACCAATGAGTAAAGACTCAATGTCGGGCTGTAAATATTTTCTAACGTTTATTGATGATTTTACAAGAAAAACTTTTGTATATTTTTATCAAAAACAAAAGTGAAGTCTTTCAAAAATTTTTAGATTTCAAGACATTTGCTGAGAACCAGTCTGGAAAGAAATTAAAAATTCTTCGATCGGATAATGGCAAGGAGTATGTCAATGAGCAGATGAAGAAATTTTTGAAGCAGTGTGGTATACAACAGCAATTAACGGTTGAGTATACACCCGAGCAGAATGGAGTTGCAGAACGTGCAAACCGCACAATAACAGAAAAAGCTAGAAGTATGCTTCAGGAAGCAGAGCTAGATGAAAAGTTCTGGGCAGAGGCGGTGAACTACGCTGTGTATTTAAAGAATAGATCACCGACCATTGCAGTTAAAGGTAAAACGCCAGAGGAAGCGTGGACTGGAAGGAAGCAAGACTTAAGCATGCTACGAATTTTCGGATGCAAAGCGTTTATTCACGTACCAAAAGTAAAACGGACGAAATGGGACGCTAAATCTAAAGAAATGATTCATGTAGGCATCTGTGAAGAATCGAAAGGCTACCGCTTAATAGACCCAATAACTAATCATTTAAGCAAGGCCAGAGATGTTGTGTTTTTCGAGAACGAGAATATAAACTGTAAGCAAACAGTTGAAAGAGTTGAGAAGTCAGCACCGCTTAGTTTTAAGGATAACGTCACAGAATATGAAGATCACATAGAAGTTCAAGATTTTCAAAGAGATCAAATTGAATCGGAAAATGAACCTGTAAATATTGTAAGTAGTAATGATGATGATATTCTGCATGAGAATTTAGAAACAGAAACAAATGAAGAGAGTTCTGTTACAAGAAGATATCCTTTAAGAGATAGAAAGAAGAAAGCGATACCTGACTGCATTACATATCACACAATAGCTGATTGTGATGATCCGCAGAGTGTGGATGAGGCATTGTCTAGAAGAGACAAACACTTATGGAAAGCTGCGATCGACGAGGAGCTTAATGCACTCAAGAAAAATAAAACATGGAAATTGACGTTACCTCCAGAATCTTGCAACGTCGTTGATTCTAAATGGATATTTAAAATCAAAGAAGAGGCAGGGGGAAATAAGAGATACAAAGCACGCCTAGTTGCAAGAGGTTTCAGCCAGAGGCATGGAATAGATTATTTTGAGACATTTTCTCCAGTTATTAGACATAGCTCTTTGAGGACATTGATTGCATTGGCAGCTCATATGAATCTTAATATAGACCACATGGACGTGAAAACCGCATTCTTGAATGGTAACTTGGACGAGGTGGTTTATATGAAGCAACCAGAGGGTTTCGTTGAAAAGGGAAAGGAGAATTATGTGTGCCAGTTGCAAAGATCATTGTACGGACTTAAACAAGCTCCCAGAGCATGGAATAAAAAACTTCATTTGGAATTGCTGAAACTTAAATTCAAGAGGTCTGAGTATGAACCATGCGTTTCTATTAGATCTACAGGAGATAAAGTAATTATTCTTGCCATATATGTAGATGACATTTTATTGTTCTGGAATAATGTTGAGGAATTAAGGAAGGTTAAAACCGATCTCACAAACAAATTTGAGATGAAGGACCTTGGCACAGCGAAGTTGATGTTGGGAATACGAATAGCACAAGATAGTGAAGGGATCAAACTGGATCAGAAGGGATACATAGAGAAGGTTATTCGTACATTTGGAATGGAGAACTGTAAACCAGTTGCTACTCCAGCAGTACCAGGACAAAGGCTAGAGAGGCCACAGCTTGATCAAGAACTTGATGAAAAAGTACCGTATCGCGCATTGATTGGTTCACTGATGTACCTTGCTGTTTGTACGCGCCCTGACATAGCACACACAGTAAGTCAGCTCAGTCAGTTTAACAACAGCTACGGAGACGAGCATTGGATAGCTGCAAAGAGAGTGCTCCGCTATTTGATGGGAACCAAGGATCTAGCATTATTCTATAGAAGGGGAAACCAAAATGAGTTTGTATTAGGTTATGCTGATGCAGATCACGCCGGAGACTTTGATAGAAGATCAAATTCAGGTTGGGTATTTTTATCTCAAGGAGGAGCTATTTCTTGGGAGAGCAAGAAACAACGTACAGTGGCAATATCGTCTGCAGAAGCTGAGTATGTAGCGTTATCAGAGGCTGCAAAAGAGGCAATTTTCATTCGCAGGTTTATTGCAGAATTAAGAGATGGACCCAATCCCGCAATCTCAATTTTCACTGATAGTCAGTCGGCTATGGCAATTGCTAAGAATCCTGTACATCACCAGCGTACGAAGCATGTGGATGTAAGATATCACTTTGTACGTGAGGCGATTGAGAATGGTGACATTCATTTGAGGTACAAGGAAACTAATAGAATGACAGCTGATGTTTTGACAAAGTGTTTGTTGAGAGGTAAATTTGAATGGTGTGTGAAAAGCATGGGTTTGAGTTGTGTGTGAATAAGATGGCTGTTTATATGGTAGGTACACTAACAGGCATGAGATTAAGGAGGAGTGTTAGAGCGACAAATTACTAGGAGTTTATATTTGCGTGTAATCTCATTGCTGTTATTCGTATGGTTTGTGGTTGTCAGAATTATTTGAATATACTGACTGACATGCACTTCAAGTTTTGGTTGTTACTTGCTTAGATACGTTGTTTGTACTCATGTGTTCTATTTTGTTTGTAAATATATATTAAGTCAATATTAGCTGGCATTCTTTATTTATTATATATGATCGAGGTTATCTAGTCTTCGATCAATCTCCTCCAACAGCCATTACCCATGATCTAAATCGATCTGGGTACTTGTCGGGGTTGGGAAAGAGATGTAGCACCGGATGTGTATCTGGAAAAGTTTGTTTACTTGAATTATTATTTGAGTTAACAGGTCAGGCACCGGCAACCCAGCGGCGTGATACGATGCAAATTATTTGTAATTCAAATTCGGTAGATTTGATGATAGGTTCTACACCTCCAAAATATTATTCCAAATGTTTTGATGTAAAAACATTACTGTATGCAAGTACCTCCACTTTCCACACAACCAGGCACGCAGCAAAGTTTCTGTGACATGATTGCACACCACACAACACAAATGTTGACAGTAAAAGTCCTCTTTCAAAATGTAAAGCAAATCTTGCCTCAACGTATTCAAGAGTCCTGTCTCAAAACCTCGACGCGAAGCCGGAGGAAATAAATCAACTCAACGAACTTAGCGGAGAAAGCGCACTGCACACGTTTTTGTACAATAAATTAACACTACACACTGTTTAAGAGTTAACTTAGCGGTACAAGAACGGCAGAACGACATTTAAAACAACAATAGCCAACCTCTGTGAAGTTAGCCCCCCACTTTTTGAATTTTATTATTATCTAGGTTGTTCTGGGTTGTTCTATGTTTGTTCTACATTGTTCCAAAGTATTATTTGAAAAAACTCAAATTTGAAGCTGCCAGACAAGAAAAACCGTTTTTCTATGGTAGCCCCCCTTGTTTGGAAATTCAATATTTTTTTAGTTGTTCCAAGTTGTTCTAGTTGTTCCGAACGTTGTTCCAAAGTATTATTTGAAAAAACTCAAATTTGAAGCTACCAGACAAAAAAAAACGTTTTTATGGTAGCCCCCCATGTTGGGAAATTCAATATTTTTTTAGTTGTTCCAAGTTGTTCTAGTTGTTCCTAACATTGTTCCAAAGTATTATTTGAAAATATTCAAATTTGAAGCTGCCAGACAAAAAAAACTATTTTTATGGTAGCCCCCCATGTTTGGAAATTCAATATTTTTTTAGTTGTTCCAAGTTGTTCTAGTTGTTCCTAACATTGTTCCAAAGTATTAGTTGAAAAAACTCAAATTTGAAGCTGTCAGGCAAAAAAAACCGTTTTTGAGATAGCCCCACCTCTGTGAAGTTAGCCCCCCACTTTTTGAATTTTATTATTATCTAGGTTGTTCTGGGTTGTTCTATGTTTGTTCTACATTGTTCCAAAGTATTATTTGAAAAAACTCAAATTTGAAGCTGTCAGGCAAAAAAAACCGTTTTTGAGATAGCCCCACCTCTGTGAAGTTAGCCCCCCACTTTTTGAATTTTATTATTATCTAGGTTGTTCTGGGTTGTTCTATGTTTGTTCTACATTGTTCCAAAGTATTATTTGAAAAAACTCAAATTTGAAGCTGTCAGGTAAAAAAAACCGTTTTTGAGATAGCCCCACCTCTGTGAAGTTAGCCCCCCACTTTTTGAATTTTATTATTATCTAGGTTGTTCTGGGTTGTTCTATGTTTGTTCTACATTGTTCCAAAGTATTATTCGAAAAAACTCAAATTTGAAGCTGCCAGACAAAAAAAAACCGTTTTTCTATGGTAGCCCCCATGTTTGGAAATTCAATATTTTTTTAGTTGTTCCAAGTTGTTCTAGTTGTTCCAAACATTGTTCCAAAGTATTATTTGAAAATATTCAAATTTGAAGCTGCCAGACAAAAAAAACGTTTTTATGGTAGCCCCCCATGTTTGGAAATTCGTTATTTTTAAAGTTGTTCCAAGTTGTTCTAGTTGTTCCTAACATTGTTCCAAAGTATTATTTGAAAAAACTCAAATTTGAAGCTGTCAGACAAAAAAAACCGTTTTTCAGATAGCCCGCCAAATCAAATCGTACTAGAGACAATAAATAAATCAACAATAATTTTAAACAATGACGATCGTATCAGTACAACCGTGGGCTATATCGTTCCAATTTCATTTAATCATTTTGAATAAAATTAATAGTTATAAGACAAGAAAACATTACACTATAGGGTAAACTCCCTAATTGTTGGCACTTTAAGAGTAGGTTCCATGTCAGTCAGACATTAAATTACCATAAAATCACATCTAAATGAGTTAGTACACAACACATGTAACAGTATCAAGGAAATATAGTTCAATCTTTGTTTTCATAATAGTACAGTCAATGAAGGCAAAAATCAGCTATAACCTCCGATTTCGATGAACCTCCATCGATTTTCATGAAAAATGGTGATGAGGTGGGGGATATCATATGAAACAAAAGTGACATAGTGCCAACTTGCGCTTTTTCCCTAGGGGTAGATACCACCCCTTCTCGGGGGTAAAAATTATTTTAATAAAAATAACTCCAGGAATCGATAGAAAGACAAATTCTAAACAAAAGTTGTTATATTAAGTTTTCGAAATAAATCAATACTTTCTGAGTTAATAATGATCAAAGATTGTGATTTTGTGCCAAAAAATTCATGATTTAAGCGGTTTTTATAAATATCTCAAAAACTATGAGTTTAAAGAAAAATATATTATTACTAGACGCAACGAATATTCGGTTACTATTCGGTATTCGGCCTATTCGGCTGCTTTTATTATATTCGGCCGAATACCGAATACCTACATATTATTCGTCCGAATACCGAATACTTAAATAATATATTTTGTCATAGAGAAATAATTGGTAAAATGAAAATTAATATCGATTGATTACGTAGGTATATATTCATATTTTAATTTCTGTTATATATAATCATTAAAGTAGTCATTGGTACATAATCATCTTCTGAATTGGAAAAATGGAGGACTCTATGTATTTGAATTATTGTGGTAATCAAAATTTAAAAGGGTAAGGTTCTCATTTCTTTTATAATCATTTATTAAGTAGTTATTGGTACATAATTTAATAATTTTCTGTATTAAACAAGTAAAGAATTTTTCTATGCATTTGAATTATTTTCATAATCAAAATTTAGAAGGGGAAGGTTATGGTTTAGGAAGTAGTAGAAATTCTTTTTTTCTCGTACACCATCCCAGCTTCAGAGTAAAGGCGCTCTGAATAAACACTACTTCCTGGCGCCGACAAATACTTTGCTGCAATCTTAATCAAACACGGAAATTCAATTTTCCTTGCTGCCACCATGTATATGGGTTGTCATGACGTGATATATTACTAATATTTAAGAAAATATCCATTTCTGTTGAAACTGCGTTTGACTGAATTGCACTGCAAACAAAGGGGCGCGAAACAATCACGTTTGTACAAGTTTTTGGCGTTAAAATCCAACCGAATACTTTTGCCTAATATTCAGCTATTCGGTCAGGGGCCTCGCTGAATATTCGGTATACTGCCGAACATACTATTCGTTGCAAGTCTAATTATCACCAAAATTGAAGCTAATAAAAAAAACAAACCCCTTCTTTGAAAAACCTTCTTATATGAATTCAAAGTGAGCTGTAGGTACTTGTATGTATATTTTTTTCGACAAGTACTTAAATCTAAGTTTCCAACCCTAAATAACGGGAAACCGATGCATTTTGATGAATGGTTGGAATGAAGGGTTTATTTTTCGTTTTTCCTAAAAAAAATAAGTGTTATCTTATTTTTATTATAACTTTTTCAATTTTGAAGCTATTAACTTTTTACAGTGCTCATTATAAAGGTATTTCTGAGAAATTTAAAAAGTGCTCCGATAGTGTATGTCACAAATTCATGGGTTTCCCGTTATTTAGGTTTGAATACTTAGATTTAAGTACTTGCCGAAAAAAATATATGTACATACAATTACCTATAGCTCACTTTGAATTGAAATTAGAAGGTTTTTCAAAGTAGGCGTTTGTTTGTTTTTTTATTAGCTTCAATTTTGGTACTAATATTTTTTTTGTAAAGCTCATAGTTTTAGAGTTATTTATTAAAAACCGCTTAAACATGTATTTTTATCACGCAAAATCACAATATTTTATCTTTAGTAACTCAGAAAGTATTGATTTATTCCGAAAACTTAATATAACAAATTTTACTTAGAATTTGTCTTTGTATCGATTCCTGGAGTTATTTTTATTAAAATAATTTTCACCCCCGAGAAGGGGTGGTATCTACCCTCAGGGCAAAAGCGCAAGTTGGCACTATGTCACTTTTGTTTCTTACGGTATCCCCCACTTACTTACCAATTTTCATGAAAATCGATGGAGGTTCAACGAAATCGGAGGTTGCAGCTGATTTTTGCCTTCTTTGACTATATGAAATGATCCATTATGAAAACAAAGATTAAACTACTTTCTTTGATACTGTTACATGTGTAACATGTGTTGTGTACTAAATCATTTAGATGTTTTATGGTAATTTAATGTCTGACATGCTACCTACTCTTAAAGTGCCAACAATAAGGGAGTTTACCCTATATTCTAATGTTTTCTTCTCTATTAATTTAATTCAAAATGATTAAATGAAACGGAACGATATTGCCCACGGTTGTACGCTTGTTGTACAATCGTCATTGTTTGAATTGTTTTTTGATATATTTATTGTCTCTGGTAGGTACGATTGATTTTATTTTGTAAATAAAAGTTTTTTTGTCTTAGAGCTTCAAATTTTATTTATTTCAAATAATACTTTGGAACAATGTTAGGAACAACTAGAACAACTTGGAACAACTAAAAACATAATGAATTTCCAAACATGGCGGGCTATCTTAAAAACGGTTTTTTTTGTCTGACAGCTTCAAATTTTGAGCTTTTCAAATAATACTTTGGAACAATGTTAGGAACAACTGGAACAACTTGGAACAACTTTCAAAATAATGAATTTCCAAACATGGCGGGCTATCTTAAAAACGGTTTTTTTTGTCTGACAGCTTCAAATTTGAGTTTTTTCAAATAATACTTTGGAACAATGTTAGGAACAACTGGAACAACTTGGAACAACTTTCAAAATAACGAATTTCCAAACATGGGGGGCTATCTGAAAAACGGTTTTTTTTGCCTGACAGCTTCAAATTTGAGTTTTTGCAAATAATACTTTGGAACAATGTTAGGAACAACTAGAACAACTTGGAACAACTAAAAAAGTATTGAATTTCAAAACATGGGGGGCTACCATAAAAACGTTTTTTTTGTCTGGCAGCTTCAAATTTGAATATTTTCAAATAATACTTTGGAACAATGTTCGGAACAACTAGAACAACTTGGAACAACTAAAAAAATATTGAATTTCCAAGCATGGGGGGCTACCATAAAAACGTTTTTTTTTTGTCTGGCAGCTTCAACTTTGAGTTTTTTCAAATAATACTTTGGAACAATGTTTGGAACAACTAGAACAACTTGGAACAACTAAAAAAATATTGAATTTCCAAACATGGGGGCTACCATAAAAAAAGTTTTTTTTGTCTGGTAGCTTCAAATTTGAGTTTTTTCAAATAATACTTTGGAACAACGTTCGGAACAACTAGAACAACTTGGAACAACTAAAAAAATATTGAATTTCCAAACATGGGGGGCTACCATAGAAAAACGGTTTTTCTTGTCTGGCAGCTTCAAATTTGAGTTTTTTCAAATAA